TCTATCTTTCTTCTTTCATACCCCTCTCCTCTTATTTCTATCTCATTTCTTTCATACCCTTCTCCGAGTATGCATCTCTAATATTATAAGGACCCTTAGCTGTTTTGCCATTGTTGTCAATGTGCACAGCGCGTCAATTCTCTTTATTTGTATACTACTCATTGTACTTCTATATTCTTAGAATTATTAGTATTCTCTATGTTATTTAGTAGTTAAAGTGATTGCGTGGTAGATTTGCCAACCTAGCACCTTCTGTGATTATGCGTGTTCTACTTATCGTATGGTACTTTTATATTCTTACAATTATTACCATGTTCTGTGTTATTCAGTAGTTAAAGCGATAGGTTATTGTATGGTAGATTTGTCAACCTAGCACCTGCGATTATATTATGTGTATCCTCCATCTGCACGCGTTGTGCACGTCGACAATATCATATTGTTTACCAGCTAGGAGTCCTTACAATACTAACAACAGCTAATAAAATTAATACATGTATTACATGTGTTATGTGTATTCATAGCTCTCTATACTAACTGTATATCTCGTCGAGCACACGGGGAGGGGGGGGGGGTAGTGAATACTAGTGATAGTGAATCTAAGCCCCGCTGTGATGGTGCGGTCCGCGTGATTTTTTTCCCCATTCACACAAACCGATTTTTGGCCTCCGCTACACAAACACGCCTATATATCCGGTTCGTTAATCAAATATTAAGTCAGTCGGATTTTTTTTTTAAACGCATGTTAGAAATGCGGATTGCGAACATTAATTTTTTTGTTAATACTCGTCGATCGTGCCTCGTCTATCATTTATCGTGGCTTGCACACACAAAACCTGAGCAAATCTGTATATATCAGAATTACAGTCGGACGATAGTTATAGTAAAGGGTCGGTTTTTACGAGTTATCGTGAATAGTTTCGATTACCATGAGTCTAAAACGAGTCACAATCTTTGCGTATATAATGCCACCAGGAGTGTATAATATAGATTGTATGATATAGTCACGTTGTAGTATATATTGTATGATGGAGTGTAAGATATAGATATACAGAAGCATATATTATACCCTCCTCGTGCCATAACTACTCATGTTTCTGACAAGGGGCCTCTAGTGTTCACTTCATGTAATAGTCTGTGGAAACACTAAGACATAATATATACACGATCACAAGGAAGTGAGAGGCCGGTGGAGAGGTTAGGAGGAGACGGTGGAGAGATATGGTAAGAGAAGGAAGAAAGAGATGGAGGGCGGGAGAGTGCGCAAGCGAATGAAAGACCGAGTGAGGGAAGAGGGAAGATAAAGAGAGCGCACGAGAGGAGGAGAAGGGGATGAAAGAAGCGCGATAGAAATAAGAGAGGAGAAATAAAGACCAAGAGAGGGAGAAAGGCGCGAGAGGGCCAGAGAGGAGAAAAAGGGAAATAAAGAGGGAGAGAGCGCGCGCGCGAGGAGGAGAGGGGGATAAAAGAAGAGAGATAGAACTAAGAGTGGACAAGGAATAGCAAGAGAAGAAAAAAAAGGGACAAGAGAAGGGAGAGGGGAAGCGAGATAGAGGTGGGGAACGGGGAGGAGACAGGTAGAAGGATGAAGAAATGTAGAAGGACAGGTAGATCTATAGAGCGACGTACCTGGCCGCCGACCTTGCCCTGTCGTAACCGCTTGATGTCGGTGTGCGTGGCGTTAAACTCGCTCAGGTCGACACCACTCAGCAGGTTTCCAGTCTTCTCGTACAGCTGCCAGGCTAGGTCATTGTGACTGCACGTAGGAGGACACGCACGTTAACACGCTCTCCTGCTTCTTTTCCACTACTCATCCATACGCCACCCACCCGTCCGTCCGTCCGTCTATCCATCCATCCATCCACCTGTTCATCTGCCCATCCATCCGTCTGTCCGTCCGCCTATCGATCCATCCATCTGTCCGTCCATCCGTCTATGCATATGCATGATATGCATATATTCATCTTTCGCGCGCGCGCTCTCTCTCTCTCTCTCTCTCTCTCTCTCTCTCTCTCTCTCTCTCTCTCTCTCTCTCTCTCTCTCTCTCTCTCTCTCAAGCGTTACTATTGTCTACCATATAGAGTTATTATTGTTTGTAAATAGAGAAGATTTGTTTTTCCTCATCTGTGTTTCATGTTAATATTCACCGATTTTCTGGATGTTGTTTTCAATACAACATTATGCGCCACTGCATGGTCACATTATGATTAAAAGCTCTAAAGGTTGTAAAAAAATTCTATGAAAGAGAGAGAGAGAGAGAGAGGGGGAGAGAGAAGAGAGAGAGAGAGAGAGAGAGAGAGAGAGAGAGAGAGAGAGAGAGAGAGAGAGAGAGAGAGAGAGAGAGAGAGAGCGCGCGCGCGAACGAGAGAAA